TTCAATACAAGAAGTAGCTCAATTTAACAAGGGCAGAAATCACAATGGGCAGAAAAAGTCCTAGCACAGGGCTTGTTATTATTATCTTGCAGTTATTTTGTGCAAATATCTCTGCATAAGGAATGGAAATGAAACCGTTTTTTGAATGATGATGAAGCTGCCTAAAACAGCAAGAAAAGATATAAATAAAAGTAATAAATTATATTGTTACGAATTTGGTATTTAAAAAGCTAATGTTAGTTCAATTATAAAGTAAATGGCTTTTTTTCCCCGCGCAGTGCAGCGCGTGACGAATATTAAAAGAAGAAAGCTAAGCCGGAAAATTAAAAATACAAGAGCACGTGCATTTAACATTAAATAAATAAATATATCTTTTTGATTTCGAGAAAGTACCAGAAAATTCTCGCACGCGATTTAAAAATCTTATAAAAGGAGGAAAACCTCTCAGTTTGTAGTAAGCAATTGTTTCAAGTACCAAGTATCTAGGAGTGGTCTTCGACTCACAGCTGTTATTCAAAGAACACACGGAGTATGCCTTGCGCAAAGCCACCGCTGCTAAAATGTCTCTTTACCCTTTAATAAGAAGAAATGCTAAATTAAATATCAGTCTCAAGAAGAAGATCTATACCAGCTTAATAAGACCCACCCTACTTTATGCAGTGCCTATCTGGGCCACTGTGTACAAGACTTATAGACACAAACTACAGGTCTTTCAGAACAAAATACTCAGACAAATTGTTGACTCCCCATGGTTCGTACGTAAACCTGCAGATACATAAAGAACTAAAAATAAGACCCATAGATGATCAAATTCTCACCACGAGCCACAATTTCTATGCTAAAATAGAACTTTCTCAATACGAACATATCCGTAATCTGATAAATTATGATCCTACTATAGAAATTGCAGCAAAGCGCCCAAGAGGCATCTTCCATAACAGCAAATGGTGAAATGTGTATATATTGTACATAGTACTATTATCTTTATTTTATCTTCATTGTGTGTCATTTTTACCAGTGTCTTTGAAACTTTATAGACTTATGGACATGATCCGTGTACCTGGATCTTCAAAGCACTGATCTTATATTTGTCATTTTTATTTATCGTAATCTTCTTATTGTTATATCAGAGACTTTGTAATATTGTGGACTTATGGACATGATCCGTGTACCTGGATCTTCAAAGCTCTGATTATTTATTGCTAGTGTAAAATGTTTTTCACCATTTGCCACTTCGCTCAAATACCGCCGTCCCTATATGTACATAGTGTATAGTTACAGTAACTCATGTGCCTCAGTGTTGTACAAGAACTTTAGTGTTTAATTTCTCAGACCAAGACTTCACTGAATTGTGATATCTACTATTTCAAGATGCATTGGGCTGTGGACAGTTCACGGGAGGGTGACTCCCACGTGACTACCACTGTCTAACCTGTGTTTTACAGAAAGGATGAATTTGAATATTTTGTTTAGCTAATCTGTTGCACTTAGTTGTGTCATTTGTCTTCATTTAGATCGCGATATTAGTTTAATTATTCCAATCTAGATAACCTGTTTCAAAACTTGATAATTATTAATATTTCCAATATTTCTCATTGTACGCGTAAGCTGGTGACCACCCACGTGACAGGCTCCTGCCAATCATCTCCCTTACTCCATCTACATTTCCCAAAATTTGACAAGTTTCGCCTAGTTGGCGCGGCGTAAATCGCCTTAATTAAAAACTTACGTACCAACGCCTTAGGGCAATTTCCAACAGAGACGGTTAAAGAGCGGTGGCTACTAATTGCCGCCTAGCCATTGACTCGATTTCGATTTCGATTTCAAAGAAGGACGTTAAGGAGGACTACCGAAGCGAGCGTTCGTCCGAAACCAACAAGACCTATCCATTGAAGAAAGATAATTTCATCCTTATGGCAAAAGAAAAGAAAAGTAAAGCGAAAAAGGCGAAAACCATGTCAGATATGGAAAGCGAACAACCAAGTAAGAAGAAAGATGTTAAACCTGTGGAAAAAGACATTCAAGATGTACGAGAAGTTTCAATGAGACAAATTCGTGTTCTGAAGAAGACCGGGACGAAATTTTTGCAAATAAAGACTAAGGGTGAGATGGATGTAGAGACATTCACGAAAAAATTTAAGTAATGAAAGAGGAACAGACAGTGGGACAAGAATGGATTTCTAAGAAAACCGCGATATCAGAAACGATGTTACACGAAAATCGATGAGCATAAGTGAAGTAGAAGTATGGAAGAAGAAGGAGTCGAAAAAGAGGAAACTCACCCCCACAAAGCAAAGTCTAAAATTCATGTGCTGAAGATTCGAAATGAAATGAAAACCAGTAGACACTTACAGCAACTCTGGTTTGCATATACCATTCATACTTTCCAGCTGCAAGTTTTTTTAGGGCACGTGAAGGAAGAAAAAACCAGCTGGAGAGAAGGAAATCCGATAAGAAGTCAAGCAGTTTTCCAGACGATATCGAGAGTAAGCTGAGAAAAAGGAAGGCGTGCAATTCTGCTCAACAATATGTAAGTGTTAATGTCAAGATCGAGAAGTTTGCCCCGAAAAAACGGTAATTCAATGTATAGATGTCAAGAATATGACATTCGCAACATCTGCTCACCTGACGATGCAAGTGTGGACAACACCATAGAAGTAAAGAATGCTCTCTAAAGCCAGAAGAAAAACCTAAGTGCATCTTCTGCCACTACCGCATGTAAGTTCATACAGGGGTTGCCCCGTGTACAAGAAGCGATATGAAGCAAAGAAGCAGCAGACGAAGCCAGCAGCCAAGATCCCTACTCCGGAAGATTTTCCGAAATTCATCGAAGCAGAGGAAGACAGCAGTAAAACCCACATGAAACCTCTCTACAGTAATAAAGAAGAAATTGGAAAACCCACCCAAAGAGTACAATGAAGTCATAGACTGGATTCAAGATCCTAAAATCAAAAAGTTTCTGAACAGTATAGTCAAGAATGTTGAGAAGATCCGTGCTGCAAAAACCACGGCTGAGAAGTTTACTGCCGGGTTCAAAGCAGCCATGACACTGATGAGATTTGCTGAAAGTGAAGAGTAATCACCAGCTTAGAAGCATTTGAGGGAATTTCAGTATGTTTACGATTTCTTTTCACTTTTTCAACACACAGGTTCCCCTGTTTACAGCAGCAGAGCTCGGGGTCAGTACTTGGGTGGGTGACCACCTACGTGACTGGCCTCGACGTATCATCTTTCTTCAACTAGTGAAGATACATCACAGCTTTTACGGCGGCCAGATGCTTGAACCCTCCTTCTCCAAAGTCTACTTGACCAACTCACGTGCATTAGCACATGTTCCTGCTACACCTTTGACGGTGCGGTGTAAATCACCTTAATTTTTAATTCTTCCCAACGCCTTAGGGCATATCTCCAACAGAGACGGTTAAAGTAGCAGAGCATACTAAATGCCGCCTAACCATTCACTCGATTTCGAAGTTTGTAGTAGTTGTTTAGTTTGGTGTTGTTTAGAAAACTGCTGTTGTTGATTGTAGCGAATTCGCGGATTAGCTTTCTTTAGCTGTTTTGAATTACGTTCTCTTGGACATTTGAGTAATTAAAAGATAACTACTGTGAGATTGTAGGGTTTATATTTATTTTAACTAACATTTGTTTTAAGTTTAAACTATCTTTCCTGTCAAGCCTTACTTTCCCCTGGAATTGCCAATGCCAGAGTATGTAAATTTTAGTAGAACGCGCAAAGTATTCAAAATTGTCAGCGGAAGAAATCTGAGTTAGATAGAAGGGAAACGAGTTCGAAAGTGTGCTTTCTTGCGTCACGAGCGTGGAGGTGGCAAGGTAGAAATTGAAGAACCACGCGTATCGGCCTGTGTGCTTGCCTCGGTAGATAGTTAAATCTTTTAACGTAATATTCAGAAGTTTGCTGAAATCTCAGCGGTATCTTAGAACGTGGTTAGGTTAGTTACGTTTTAGAGAGCCTCGTAGGTAGTCACTTGTTATTATTCATTTTTAGTTTCTTATTTTTATTTTACCGCCGGGTCGGCGTAGTTTGTGAGCATCAAGAGCACGCATTTGTAATTTCTAAAGTTGAATAAAAAGGGATTTAAAACCCTTCTCAAGACTTCGTGTAATTTCCAGTTCATAGCAGTCACCACTATTGTTGCGTGTAGGTTGGGAGCGCGCAACATTACAAGATATTGTAATACTGCATGATAATTTGAGAAAATTTAAGCATTTTTGTTGTGATAATAATAAATTTTTCTTCATTTTTCATCGGACTTGTGCATTCATTTCATAACGAACCCGTACGCACGCAACAATATACTTAAAAAAATTCCCAGACATTACTTTTAATTCCTTCAAACTCAATCACCATACCATCTCACGCTAGAGCATATAAATAATGATGTCTTATTTTAATGCATCACTCTTTTAAAGAAATTTTTGCATACTTTGTATTTACGAGACAATTTTTGATGTACTGGATGGTATGAGGGTTGGTGCAGATGGATTCCTATGCCACTAGTTATGCGTTCAAATCTCAAGTATAAATATTTATGACTAAAGCATCTTTGCGAATGAGGGGAACTTAAAATCTGTTGAGAAAAAAGTCCTTCTGAGAGGTCTGTAGAAGGAAAGGAAGGTTACAAGTGCTCAGACTTCCATAAGTCAAAACTGGAATGAAGCTTAGATAACCTTCTAGTGTTTCGGTATAAATAATTAACTCGGTTTTTAGAGATGATTTTTTGATCTAAGTAAATTTTGCTGGCAATTTTTTGATCAGAAAAATTTCATCATCGCATCAGATCATGATAAGATTTTTCTGCCTCCATGATTTAAAAATATTGAAAACATACAAAATATGCATTAGACTAAAAATGATTGAATAATGTTTCAATAACAATATGCTTAAATTTAAATCTTCCAAAACTTTTAACCAATTTTTAATTATAATTTCAATGATGAATGCCTTTTTTTTTTCATTTGATGCAATTTCTTTACAGGTTAACAATATTACCAGAAAAAGAAAAAATACAGAAAATGGCTGAAATGATACGAAGATTCCATACTTGTTTTATACAAAAATACAGCTGAAAACAATTTTACTGCAGTTTGATTTTGTTCTGAGTACCAATCATGTTCAAATATTAAAAGAAACTTGAGAAAACTTTAAACCTTCAGTGATTTCAAATTCCCTCATTTTAAATATATATCTATTTAAATAGATTCAAGGAGAGCCAAAAGATATTCATTTCCCTACAGTATACTATCTTTTCAATGTAGTATGGACTGCAAAGAGAAATAATATCAGTGTAAACAAATTGTAAATAATGTATTAAAACACTGGATACTTTTTCTTTTTTTTTTCGTTTGTTTATTATTAACAGTCATACATCATGAGTACCACATTTAGTTCATCATTGGTTTAACAAAATGGTTAAAAAAACAAAGCATGGTATAAAATGTCGTAACACCATTTGATAAAAGACTGAAAATTATTCTTATAACAAAATACATTAAAATCTCAGAAAGATTTCTGAGAATATCTATGACTGATACTTAATGCTAACATGAAGTGATCAGACATCTTTGGTTATATGTATCTTACATTGTAATACTTCCACTTTAGGATAAGCGCAAGAAAATATCTTGCATTCTGTAAATATACTTAGTTGCATGAATTTTTATTAATGTTGCTCCATAAAGCTATTGAAATTTTTTGTGTGATCAAAAATATATTTAATAATCAAATGATCATTCTTTCTAGACATTCATTTCAGGGAATTTTCGAGATCCACAAAAAGACTGGCTAGTAAAAGAATTTCTAGATTTATAATTTACTTGTATTTCATACTTGGAAAATGGAAAGTAAAATTAAATCATGAGGAGAATTTTAAAAAAGGACTTTTTTAAAATTCTGTAGAATGTAAGCAAATGGAGTCAAACTTAACTTCCAAAAGAATACATTTTGACAAAGGATAATTATCTGATAACAAATTATTCAGCAAAATATTGTATTGTAACAAATAAATATCATAGGCAACTCGCTCTACCGACGATATAGAGAAAATACTCAATTCAAACGCACGCGAGCTGCAGAAGTGAGATGTGATTGTTTGAACTCGCACTCTGAACTTTTAAAAACTATTTAATATTTAATTCCATTTTGAGTTTTGACCATTTTCCTGTATGTTAATGTTAGGTGTTAATAGAAGGTCATTTAAAATTAACTCCTAAAATGCTAATTAATTATTTTAAGGATTAATAAAAAGAAAATTGGTGCCCACTGCGGGGCCGCAGTACATTGGCGCCCGAACACTTGTCGAACTGAAATGGCCGAAAACTGGATGGAAGCTGATGGACAACAACAAGAAATGGCAAGCCAATTGGAAGGATTTGGATACCTGGTCCAGACGATGAGAGCATCAATCAAAGCCAAACGTCAATTTCGACGGAAAAAATTCGGTGGCGATATTTCTAGAAGGCTTCGAAAATCACTTCCAGCTCTACCCTGTGCCTGAAAGACAAAAAGTTGCCATCGCCACATCTGCACTAAGAGGACAGGCCGCGCTATGGTGGAAGAATATAGGCAAATTTTTATTAGGGGAATTCGGAGGCCAGACATATACATTTGAAAATTTCAAAAAATCGTTATTAAAGGCCTTCCCCATAGTGAAAGACCGAGCAAGGCTAGAAGCCGAACTATATAGTTTTTATCAACGGAATATAGAAGAGTTGACGGACTTTATTCTGCGAAAAATTAAGCTGACGGATATGCTGTATGGGAAGAAAACCCGACGCGGAGATTATTGAAATAATCTTACCAAGATTGCTTACCTGCTGTTCAAGATTACTTCGAAATTAGAAACCCAAGCACATTGCAGGAGCTCTTCGAATTGGCGGTCAAGTTTCCAAAATCGCAGAATAGCGGAAAAAGCTAGAGGGGCATCGTATTCTCAAAGTATCCGAAGGCAATCTTTCAAATGAGCAGACCAGAAATGCAAACCGCTCTTATGGGGGAAAGAGCTATCAAGCTAACTCATCGAAGCTCGAAGGTCAAGGCCCAAAAAGGAAATTTGAAAACAACCGTCCGCGTACCCAGAAGGCAGAAGTTGAAAGGAAAGCTTTAAACGAGTAGAGGGGCCTGTGAAAGCGAGGGTCCAGACCCCGGAAGTTTTGAAAAAACCCTCAAGAAGACACTTAAATACGGTCATCGTAAAAAACTCACAATTACCAATTATACAAGTCCTTGGTTGGCGATGTACCAGTAGAAGCCCTCATCGATACAGGAGCAGAAGGTAATTTTATGAGTGATATTTTTTTTTTAAAAAAGAATTTTAATAGGTTACGATTATTTAAAAATAAAAACACAGAAATCATAGCAGGCGCAAGGACAAACTTGTCACTGTATTGGAAAATTATCTTTAAAAATACAGGTTCAAAACGAAAGCCTTAAAGTATTAATTTTTGTAGTAAAAAAACTTGCAAAGTCCACTTATTTTAGGTATGGAGTTTTTTAAAGGCCGCGAAGGCCAAACTGAATTTTCAGGAAAGTTCTATTGTGCTGGAGATGGATCGGAGGGTGGTGGAACCAGTGGAACAACCGCAAGTTGACCTTAGCCATTTGAATGACCATGAAAGTCAAGCCATCCAGCAAGTGGTGAGTACTTTTTCAAACTTGTTTTCAGAACGGCCTGGTAGTTGTCAAATAGTTACGCATGAGATACAGTTAACTGCCGACAAACCCTGTAGGACTAAACCTTACCGCTATGATAAACAAAAAGAGCAAATCATAGAAGAACATATTCAGGAAATGTTAAAGAACCAAAATAATAACGCCCATAAATAGTGAGTACGCGAGTCCAGTCGTACTATGTAGGAAAAAGAACGAGTTTTCCTCCTTCGGATAAAAGGGCTTGGAGGTTTGCTATCGATTACAGAAAACTTAATAGTGTTACTAAATTCCCAGTTTACCCTTTGCCGGTTATAGAGGAAATTATTAGAAAGATTAAATCTACAAGATACATGACTACTTTGGACTTAACGTCTGGCTACTATATCAAATAGCTATGAGACCCGAAGACATACATAAAACCGCGTTTATAACAAAATCGGGCACTTATGCATTTTTACGCATGCCCTTTGGGTTGTGTGGGGCCCCGTCAACATTCCAGAGAGCTATGGACATTGTTCTAAAGCCTGTCCTAGGAAAATCGACTTTAATCTATCTAGATGATATAATTATAACGAGTAGTACGTTGGAACAACATATTAAAGATCTAGAAGAAGTTTTTAAATTATTAAAAGAGGCCGGTCTTACAATTAACGCCTCAAAATGCAAGTTCGCAACTAAAGAACTTAAATATCTGGGTTATAAAATTTCGCAAAAGGGTATAGAAACTCAAGATTCAAAAATAAAAGCCAATCAAGAATTTCCCACCTCCCAACACCGCCAAGAAAATTTCTTCTTTCCTTGGGTTATGTTCTTATTATCGGTCGTTCATAAAAGATTTTGCTAATATTGTTGAACCCTTTGTTAGTAATTAAAAGAAAGAAAAGTAAATTCACGTGGACAGCAGAAGCAAATACCGCATTTGAAAGGTTAAAAGAAGCGCTCATCAATGCCCCTGTTTTGAAATTCCCGGAGGGGACGAAAACCTGGAAATTGCAGCAGATGCGTCGGACTATGCTGTAGGGTGCGGTTCTTATGCAAAATGGCCATCCTTTGGCATTTTTTAGTAAAACGTTTAAAAACCCTACACAAAGGAATTATACAGCTACAGAGAGAGAAACATTAGCCGTATTAATGGCTGTACACAAATTTCGAGTTTATTTCGGCAAAGCGCCAGTAACAGTCTTTTCGGATCATGCGGCTGTTGGTAGACTTTACTCGGGGAAAACCTACCTAACGCCCAGGTTAATAAGATGGGCTTTAAAACTCCAAGAATATAATCTCATAATCAAATATAAACCGGGTAAGGAAAACAATGTAGCTGACGCACTTTCTCGTATAAAACTGGACGATGAAGGAATGAACTTAAATGCGCTGTGTTGACTTCAAAAATTTTAGATTCTAGAGAAACAATTATTGCTGAATTGAAAGCTGATCCTGAATTTGGAAGTATCTATGCATATTTGAAAGAAATAGAGCAGCGAAATAATAGATATACGAAAACAACAAACGAAAATCTCGAGTACAAACCAGTCATCCCAGCCCAGCCTCGCTTCGATTAAGCATTTTGAAGGAATTACACGACGCGAAAACAGCGGGTCATTTAGGGGTCAGAAAGACTTTAAAAAGGGTACGCGAGGCGGTATATTTCCCGCAATTATACAAAATAGTAACTGCGTATGTCAGGTCCTGCAATCAATGTCAGTTAATAAATGATATTAATTACAGCCCGGCCGGGTACTTAAATAGCATTCGCGCTACATTTCCGAATGAAATTTTAGGCATAGATCTTCTTGGTCCTTTCCCCCAGAGTGAGTTAAATAAAAATCGTTTTCTTTTAGTAATTGTAGATCATTTTTCAAAATGGACAGAAATTGTTCCACTTAAACGCGCGTCAGCCAAAACAGTCGCAGATGCATTCTTACACAGATACATTTTAAAATACGGTGCACCGATAAAAGTCATTAGCGATAACGGTAAACAATTCGTTAGCCAAATATTTGAAAATATTTGCACTGGACTTGGCATACGCCATATCAAAATGGTTCCGTATAGACCACAGGCAAACATAGCAGAAAGAGTTAATAAAAATATGTAAAAATAATTCGAAGTTATGTTAGCACACATCACAAGCGCTGGGATGGCTACATAAATGAGTTAGCTTATGCTTTAAGAACGGCAAATCACGATACTACGGGAAAAACTCCAGCAGAATTATTTTTAGGACGGAAGTTAATTACGCCATTAGATAAATTATTCTTGGTGCAACAAAGAGAGAAAGAATTTAAACAAAAAGATGTGCAAAACTCATTGACCAGGCGGTTAAAAGCTCGGATACGGCAAGAAAAAGACAAAAATTATACTATGATAGAAAACGCCGTGAAGCAGATTTTAAAGTAGGGGATAAAGTGTTGAAGCGGAAATTTTCCTTATTAAGTGCCCCAGACAATTTTACTGCAAAGTTAGCTCCAAAATTTGAAGGCCCCTATGTAATTCAGGAAATAAAGGGAGTCGTATTGTACCTTAAGAACGAGAGAGGGGAAATCTGTAAAGCAAGTCCCGACCAGGTGAAAAAAATATTATAATCAAAATGATTTTGAAATCCTTAAAAGTTTCTTGCAGGACTCAAGCGTAAAAGAAGTAGAAGGTCCAGAAGTAACGTCACCCGCTCCACCACCCAAGAAGCAGAG